GGTATTACCAGCTGGTGTTGCCCCACTGGTATTACCACTGGTTTTTCCTACTGGTACAAAAACTGGTGTTGCCCACGGTAATACCAGCGGGGTTTTCCCACGGTATTACCAGCTAGGTTCCTACGTATTACCAGCTGGTGTTGCCTACTGGATTACCACTGGGGTTTGCCCCGGTCTCCCAGCTGGGTTGCCTCGACTACCAGCTGTGTTGCCTACTGGACTACCAGCGGGGTTGCCTACTGGTACTAAAACCAAAGGGGGTTCCTACGGTATTTCCAGCGGTGTTTCCCACTGGTATTTCCAGCTGGTTTCCTACTGTATTAAACCCGCTGGGTGTTGCCTACTGGGATTACCAGCTGGTGTTGCCTCTGGTATTACCACTGGGGTTGCCTACTGGGATTCCAGCTTGGGGTTCCTACTGGTAAACCAGCTGGTGTTGCCTACTGGATACCAGCTGGTGTTCCCATTTAACCAGCGGTGTTGCCTATGTATTACCACTATTTTTTCCTACTGGTAAAACCAGTGGTGTTTCCTACTGGTAAACCAGCTGGTGTTGCCTACTGGTATTACCCGCTGGTGTTTCCTACGGTTTACCACTGGTGTTGCCTACTGGTATTTCCCGCTGGGTTGCCTACTGGTATTTCCAGCTGGGGTTGCCTACTGGGATTACCACTGGGTTAATTTGGACAAAGCACAACATACAGCTGTAAACCCTTGTGGGTTTTGGGCCTTTTTTTTTTTTTTTTTTTTTTTTTTTTTTAATAATTTAAAAAGTTGGTAAATTTCCGACAATATTAAAATAAAAGGACACAAGTGCAACTAATGTGACATTTAGTGCACACCAATTTGTGTCCTGGTTTTTTTTGACGAGGATGTACATACATTTACCAACCCTTTACTAGTTACATTTTCCTTCTTTTTTCATCAAAGACTGCAAGAAAAGAGCTCTTCATCATAATTCTCCTCGCAAACCAACCCACTCCCCAAAAAATTATAATTCTTTTCCCCAAAAGCCCGGGTTTCACTGAACGTCTCAAAAGTACTTTCACACTAACACCAAGTCGCCATCGCTTCAGCACTTCAATAAAGGATATAACCAGGACAAAATCCAACACCCGAAAAGTCAATGCAAAGGGGGTTTACACATCCCTGGGGCTGTGAAAAAATTACGTAGGGGAAACAGCCAGAAACCTCACACCCGCCTCAATAAAACCCTTACCATGTAAACGATAACTTAAAAAACGCCTGTGTACAACACCGAAATTCCACCAATCATTCATGAAATTCAGAGACGCCAATTTAAAGTGATCAAAGAAACTAATTTCCGACGCAAGTGCCTGATCAGCATGATCGTGTTTCGAAACAATTAAACAAAACAACGGCAGCTTCACCATCTCTGAAGTCTTAGCAAGAATCTCCTGAAAACAGTAAACCCTGCCATCACATAGTCTCTCTGTTTACTACACAAAGCACAGAGAGTGAACACTGAAACAAGCTGCCTCATTCCACTCTATATTTGTCCAACCTATTTTTATGTTACCCAAGTAATAGCTTTTATATCCTTTTACTCATGTACGAATTAATTGCTCTACCATATTGTATTACTTTTCTCACTACAACTACTACACTACCACTACACTACACATACTACTAACTACTACTATACTACTTACAACACCTACTACATACCACTATGAACATCGAAATGGTACCTCACTAGTATTAACACTCACTCGAGCCTTTCATAATACCCTCTGTCCATGTATTGTTTGAATGGCTTGATAAAGCTCCTGGAGAGCGAAAACGTTGCCACAATACAAGTCCATTATTGCACTTGTTCCTTTTACTTTAACATAATAATATAATGCCACTAACAATAACAGTGCCTGGAGTTACCTGGAGAGAGTTCCGGGGGTCAACGCCCCCGCGGCCCGGTCTGTGACCAGGCCTCCTGGTGGATCAGAGCCTGATCAACCAGGCTGTTGCTGCTGGCTGCACGCAAACCAACGTACGAGCCACAGCCCGGCTGATCAGAAACTGACTTTAGGTGCTTGTCCAGTGCCAGCTTGAAGACTGCCAGGGGTCTGTTGGTAATCCCCCTTATGTGTGCTGGGAGGCAGTTGAAAAAGTCTCGGGCCCCTGACACTTATTGTATGGTCTCTTAACGTGCTAGTGACACCCCTGCTTTTCATTGGGGGATGTTGCATCGTCTGCCAAGTCTTTTGCTTTCGTAGTGAGTAATTTTCGTGTGCATGTTCGGTACTAGTCCCTCTAGGATTTTCCAGGTGTATATAATCATGTATCTCTCCCTCCTGCGTTCCAGGGAATACAGGTTTAGGAACCTCAAGCGCTCCCAGTAATTGAGGTGTTTTATCTCCGTTATGCGCGCCGTGAAAGTTCTCTGTACATTTTCTAGGTCGGAAATTTCACCTGCCTTGAAAGGTGCTGTTAGTGTGCAGCAATATTCCAGCCTAGATAGAACAAGTGACCTGAAGAGTGTCATCATGGGCTTGGCCTCCCTAGTTTTGAAGGTTCTCATTATCCATCCTGTCATTTTTCTAGCAGATGTGATTGATACAATGTTATGGTCCTTGAAGGTGAGATCCTCCGACATGATCACTCCCAGGTCTTTGACGTTGGTTTTTTTCGCTCTATTTTGTGGCCAGAATTTGTTTTGTACTCTGATGAGATTTAATTTCCTCATGTTTACCATATTGAGTAATTGAAATTTCATCGTTGAACTTCATATTGTTTTCTGCAGCCTACTGAAAGATTTGGTTGATGTCCGCCTGGAGCCTTGCAGTGTCTGCAATGGAAGACACTGTCATGCAGATTCGGGTGTCATCTGCAAAGGAAGACACGGTGCTGTGGCTGACATCCTTGTCTATGTCGGATATGAGGATGAGGAACAAGATGGGAGCTAGTACTGTGCCTTGTGGAACAGAGCTTTTCACCGTAGCTGCCTCGGACTTTACTCTGTTGACGACTACTCTCTGTGTTCTGTTAGTGAGGAAATTATAGATCCATCGACCGACTTTTCCTGTTATTCCTTTAGCACGCATTTTGTGCGCTATTACGCCATGGTCACACTTGTCGAAGGCTTTTGCAAAGTCTGTATATATTACATCTGCATTCTTTTTGTCTTCTAGTGCATTTAGGACCTTGTAGTGATCCAATAGTTGAGACAGACAGGAGCGACCTGTTCTAAACCCATGTTGCCCTGGGTTGTGTAACTGACGGGTTTCTAGATGGGTGGTGATCTTGCTTCTTAGGACCCTTTCAAAGATTTTTATGATATGGGATGTTAGTGCTATTGGTCTGTAGTTCTTTGCTGTTGCTTTACTCCCCCCTTTGTGGAGTGGGGCTATGTCTGTTGTTTTTAGTAACTGAGGGACGACCCCCGTGCCCATGCTCCCTCTCCATAGGATGGAAAAGGCTCGTGATAGGGGCTTCTTGCAGTTCTTGATGAACACAGAGTTCCATGAGTCTGGCCTGGGGCAGAGTGCATGGGCATGTCATTTATCGTCTGTTCGAAGTCATTTGGCGTCAGGATAACATCGGATAGGCTTGTGTTAATCAAATTTTGTGGCTCTCTCATAAAAAATTCATTTTGATCTTCGACTCTCAGTCTGGTTAGCGGCTTGCTAAAAACTGAGTCATATTGGGACTTGAGTAGCTCACTCATTTCCTTGCTGTCATCTGTGTAGGACCCATCTTGTTTAAGTAGGGGCCCAATACTGGACGTTGTTCTCGATTTTGATTTGGCATAGGAGAAGAAATACTTTGGGTTTCTTTCGATTTCATTTATGGCTTTTAGTTCTTCCCGCGATTCCTGACTCCTAAAGGATTCTTTTAGCTTAAGTTCGATGCTTGCTATTTCTCTGACCAGTGTCTCCCTACGCATTTCAGATATATTAACCTCTTTTAGCCGCTCTGTTATTCTTTTCCGTCGCCTGTAAAGGGAGCGCCTGTCTCTTTCTATTTTACATCTACTCCTCCTTTTTCTTAGAGGAATAAGCCTTGTGCAAACATCGAGTGCCACCGAGTTAATCTGTGGCATAAGTTGGGGTCTGTGTTGCTTAGTATATCTTCCCAGCTTATATCGGTTAGGTAAGGTGAGGTAAATCATTGTCATACAGCATCGAGAGTCACTTAGGTTCGATCCAAGGAGGGTAACTCCAGTTCTTTGGATCAAAAGCCCTTTCTAAGTTACACAATATTTTTCCTAGGTATACTAAGACCGCAGCAGGCACGACCCACAGGGGCCTTGATGCCGGTGGTCTCATAATCCGAGGAACTGGAGCTAGCTTTTCCTTGGCTCAAACCCTGTTGCCTTCCATTCCCCAAGTGCTGTATAATCCTTACGGGTCTAGCGCTTCTTTATGAATATAATATGTAGAGTAAGAGTTTTATTTCAGCTTTCCCCGAGATATTGAGAAAATTTGTTTTAAGGCCAAACTATTGTGTTTACAACTGTAGTTGTGATAATATTTATATACTAATTTGAAAGTTTATTAGTAAGTGAACATTTAGTTATGATGATTCAACTGATTACTCAATGTAACAAAGTTGCATAATTTAGTGATATTGTAAATAATAATGTGAGTTGCTATAAAGGTTGTGTGTGCGCGCATGTTACCTGACAGTATGTGTGTGTGAGAGAAAATGCTGTTATGATGTTATAATAAGAGTTTTATTGATTACAGGAAACTGGTACTTCTATTATATTATTGATTAGTTGTGTGTGTAGCAAGTGAAGCAGAGATCAGCAGAATTAGTGCAGCATCCTCTCTCTCTCTCTGGTGTCCAGAGTTTACTCTCTTGTAATTTATAAATGTACAGTTTTAGCATACTGTGTTAGATAAGTAAATGAATGTTAGTGTTAAATAAATAAGTTGTGTTAGTGTGGGTGGTGGTGGTGGTGGTGGCGGCGGCGGCGGCGGCGGCGGCGGCGGCGGCGGCGGCGGCGCCAATAGTGAGGCTCAGAACAACTCGTCTGGCCCCGCCCTAACCCACCAGTGTTCCCAACACTCTCACACACCTCCCCTCCATAACACACCTCACAACACCCACAAACCCTCACAGCTCTCCATTACATCACTTTCACCAGATACCAGTCATTTTTTCCAGCACCATTACCCTTCAACCCCCCTTAACTATGCCGTTAAAAGGAGCAAAATTCTGGTTGAAAATGCGAAGTATAGGGTGGTAGTGTTGGCAAGATTGTGTGTAACATGGCGGAGTGTGGCTGGCAGAGCCAGTGAGTGAGGTAGTGTTTCTTGTTACTCTCCCTCTCTGTGTGTTCAGTATTCCCCAGAGTAGTGTGTTTGCCTGATTTACCTCGTCGCGGTGACCTCTTACACCCGCCTGTCACGCCCAACACGCCCGCCGCGCCCACAGGTGAGTAACAAACGCAGGTGAATTCATTTTGCATTCAATCATCAACCATTTGTCCAATCGATCAGAGGCGAGGATGCGGCGTCGCCTCCAGCATATCTTGTTGCCTGTGTGGGCGTGGGTGCCACACCTGTCCCGTGGGCGCCACACCTGTCCCCTGCATGACAAACATGCCCCGCCCACCACGGGTCTAGCTGGCTAATATGTGTTTGACAGTGCCATGTGCGGGCCACACTCCCTCCACACCTGCTGCTGCTGCTGCCTCCACACCTGCTGCTGCTGCTGCCTCCACACCTGCTGCTGCTGCTGCCTCCACACCTGCTGCTGCTGCTGCCTCCACACCTGCTGCTGCCTCCACACTGCTGGCTGCACTGCTGCTGCCTCCACACCTGCTGCTGTCTGCTCTGCCTCCACACCTGCTGCTGCTGCTGCCTCCACACCTGCTGCTGCTGCTGCCTCCACACCTGCTGCTGCTGCTGCCTCCACACCTGCTGCTGACCTGCTTGCCTCCACACCTGCTGCTGCTGCTGCCTCCACACCTGCTGCTGCTGCTGCCTCCACACCTGCTGCTGCTGCCTCCACACCTGCTGCTGCTGCCTCCACACCTGCTGCTGCTGCCTCCACACCTGCTGCTGCTGCCTCCACAGCTACTGCTTCTGCCTCCACACCTGCTGCTTCTGCCTCCACACCTGCTGCTTCTGCCTCTACACCTGCTGCTGCTGCCTCCACACCTGCTGCTGCCTCCACACCTGCTGCTACCTCCACACCTGCTGCTGCTGCCTCCACACCTGCTGCTGCCTCCACACCTGCTGCTGCTGCTGCCTCCACACCTGCTGCTGCTGCCTCCACACCTGCTGCTGCTGCTGCCTCCACACCTGCTGCTTCTGCCTCCACACCTGCTGCTGCTGCCTCCACACCTGATGCTGCTGCTTCCACACCTGATGCTGCCTCCACCTGCTGCTGCCTCCACACCTGCTGCCTCCACATCTGCTGCTGCTCCCTCCACATCTGCTGCTGCTCCCTCCACCTGCTGCTGCTCCCTCCACCTGCTTCTGCTGCCTCCACACCTGCTGCTGCTGCCTCCACACCTGCTGCTCCCTCCAGACCTGCTGCTGCCGCCTCCACACCTGCTGCTTCTGCCTCCACACCTGCTGCTGTTGCCTCCACACCTGCTGCTCCCACCACATTTGCTGCTGCTGCCTCCACACCTGGTACTGCTGTTGCCCCCACATCTGCTGCTTGCTTCCACACCTGCTGCTCCCTCCACACCTCCCCTCAGGGAAGGTTCCTTGATGCTGGTGAAGCTCTTGATCTAGGAAATCGGATCTGCACTCCAGTTCCCCGAATTATGCCTGAATAACTTCCACATCCCCCCTACAGGCGCTGTATAATCCTACGGGTTTAGCGCTTCTCCATGATTATAATAATCCCTCCACACCTGTTTGCCTCCACATCTGCTGCTGCTTCCTCCACACCTTGCTGTTGCTCCCTCCACTCCTTCCTCTGCACTTACTGCTGCTTTCTCCACACCTGCTCCTGCTTCCTCCGCCTGCTCCATCCACACCTGCTGCTACCCCCTTTGTGCCTGTTGCTGCTTCATCCACACCTGCTGCTATCCCCTTTGTGCCTGTTGCTGCTCCCTCCACACATGCTGCTCCTGCTGCCTCCATACCTTCTGCTATCACCACACTTGCTGCTGCTCTCACCTCTACACTAGATGCTCCTCCTTCCACACCTGCTGATGCTGCCTCTACATCTGCTCCCTCACTTGTTCCCCTCAAACCTACTGCTCCCTCCACACCTGGTCCTCCACATCTGGTGCTGCTGCTTCTACACCTACTGGTGCTGCTCACCCCACACCTGCTTCCTCAACCTCTGCTTCTCCCACACCTGCTTTTGCTCCCACCACACCTGATCTATCCTACCTGCTGCTGATGCTCCCTCCACACTTGTTGCTGCTCCCTCCACAATTGCTACACTGCTGCTACTGTTCCATCCACACCTGCTACTGCTTCCTCCACACCTGCTTTTTTCACACCTACTGTTGCTTTCTCCACACCTGCTACTGCTGCTTTCTCCACACCTGCTACTGCTGCTTTCTCCACACCTGTACTGCTGCTCTCTCCACACCTCATGCTGCTCACAACCTGCTGCTACTTTTCTCCACACATGCTCATTTCACACTTCCCTCCACCTGCTGTTGCTGTTCCACACCTGTTGCTCCTTCTACACCTGATATTGCTTCTACCTCAATCACCTGCTACTGCTGCTCCGCTACTTGCTTACTGTTCCTCCAACTGCTTTTGCTCCTCAGCACCGTTTTCTCCAATCTACACTGCTATTGCTCCTCTACACCTGCTGTTGCTGCTCCCTCCCCATCTGTTGGTTCCTCCACACCTGCCACTGTTCCCTTCCCACTTGCTGCTGCTCCCTTCACACTTGCTGCTGCTCCCTTCACACTTGCTGCTGCTCCCTTCACACTTGCTGCTACTCCTTCACACTGCTGCTGTTTCTCCCTTCCTTATGCTTGCTGTTCCCTTTACATATGCTGCTGATTTCCTCTTCACACTTGCTGCTGCCCCTTTCACACCTGCCACTGTTCCCTCTACACTTGCTGGTGCTCCTTCCACTCTTAGGTGTGATAATGCCAGAGGATCTTGCTTTCAAGGGCCACAGCAATGTCATATCACAGCTGCGAGGAATATGATAGGATGGATAACGAGAACTTTCAAAACAAGGGATACCAAATCAATGATTCTCTTTAAGTCACTATATCTAAGACTGGAATACTGCTGTACATTACGAGTCCTTTTCAAGGTTGGTGAAATTGCAGATCTGGAGAATGTACAGAGGACCTTCACTATATGCATAAGTTCAGTAAAGCACCTCAATTACTGGGAACGTTTGAAGGCCCTAAACTGGGAGGTCCCGTGGCTCGGTAGGCAACAGTCAGTCTTGCCTCACACATTGAGTGTCCATGGTTCAATCCCGGCCAGGTGGAAACCCTGGGCATATTTCCTTACGCCCTGTTCACCTAGCAATCAGTAGGTACGTACTTAGGTGTTAGTCGACTGGTGTGGGTCGCATTCTGGGGGACGAGTGAAGGACCCCAGTGGAAATAAGATAGTCCTCAATGATGCACTGATTTTCTTGGGTTATCCTGGGTATACTTGGAGTATACCTGGAGAGGGTTTTGGGGGCCAACGCCCCCATGGCCCAGTATGTGACCAATTCTCGTGGTGAATCAAGGCCTGATTAACCAGGCTATACTGCTGGCTGCACGCAAACCAGTATACAAACCACAGCCCGACTGATCGATCAGGTACTGACTTTAGGAGCCTGGGTGGCTAATCCTCCAAACAAATCTTATCTCGCTTGTACTTCCTGGAGTACAGGCAAGAAGTGTTCAGCATAATTTATACCTGGAAAATCCTAGAGGGGTTGGTCACAAATCACTCCCTATGAAAGTAAAAGGTTTGGCAGACAAAAATTGTGATTTCACATTGTAATCTTTACAAAGAAATAAAATCTTTATCTTTTATCTTTTACAGTGTAAAGCAGGGATGCTCTCAGTACACTGAGAGAATACTGTCAGGGGCACAAGACTGTTCAACAGCTTCCTATTATACGTAAAGGGGATTATCAACAGACCCCTATCTGTCATCAAGAGGCTGCGGCCAGCTGGGATGTGGTTCGTATGCTGGATTGCGTGGCCAGCAGTAACAGCCTAGTTGACGAGGCCCTGAGTCGTCATGAGACCTGGTCATGGACTGTGCTGCGGGATGTTAATCTTATCCTCCAGGATGCAACCCAAATTGGTTGACTTACCCCCTAGTACTTAGCGCTCGGTGAACAGGGACAACAGGTTTAAGGAAACACGCCCAATGCTTTTCACTCGTACTGGGAATTGAACCATCGACACTCATTATATGAGGAGAGTACACTGCCAACCTAGGCATGGGACACTTTATGGTGAGCATTGTGCCTGGTATATCACCAGGGGCTCACATCAGCTAAATAACCTTTGCCGCCAATGCTTGTCTGGCAGGAATTTCAACAAAAGTCATTCTGGGCTTATTATTGAACATATGTCAGGCCCATTTCAGAGTATGCAGCATCAGTATGGAACCCACAGGTAAACAATGTTAACCCTTTCAGGGTCCGTCCCGTAGATCTACGGCTTTACGTTCAGGGTCCAAACCGTAGATCTACGCCATGAGCTCAGCTCACTCTGATAAACTGTGAGTGGTACATTTGGGCCTAGATATGAGAGAATATATCTATGTGGTATGTGTGCACCATATAAAACAGATCCTGCAGCACACTGTGTATAATGAGAGAAAAAAAATGAAATCATGATTTTTCGATTAAAACAGCAACTTTGCAGTGTTTTTTCGTATGTTTTTTATAGTTGTATTTGCGATTTCTTGGTCTCATTTGATAGAATGGAAGACATATTACAGAAATAGAGATGATTTTGATTGGTTTTTAGCACTGGAAATGGCTTGAAACTGAGCTCAAAGTAGCAGAAATGTTAAATTTTTGCCGATATTCAAGAGTAAACAAACGACCTCACACGTCTAATACACACCAGCTGGTGAGTCTAATATACATTCACAAATATGGTGATGATATTTATACAATTATTACAGTATTGCATAACAGTAAATCTTCTATTTTTTGGTTGTGAATAAAAATTCATTATGTGAATAAAAAATCAAAATGGAATTTATTTGTAAAGCATCAAAACATAACTAATGAACAGAGGAAATGTTAGTTTAGTGCCAGGAATGCCTACATTGTTCATTCTGGACCCTATTTTGAAATTGGAATATTTTGAACTTTGTGTTAAATTGGCCAAATTAACAATTTCCGATCACTTTATTTTGTAGTTGAAACAGTTGACTTGGCGATTTCTTGTGCTCAATCGATAGAATAGAAGTAATACTAGTGAAATAGCTAAGAATTTGGTTGATTGGAATAATGTAATTGGCCTAAAATGG